GCAGGGATATTCTATTTGCTAGAAGCCTGTTTAAATACATACAACATAAGCTTTTAATATACTGAAATATACGTACGCCCAAGTTATTCACTATTTTCTAGACTATGAAGTCAGTAAACTGCATGAAATGAATGAAATGAATGAAATGATGAAATGACGAAGCTGATAAGAATTTAATTTATTCCAATGTTCTGTTTAAACCTTCATATCTGATATATATCTGTTATATAATAAATTTTATAAAGTTCAGTTAGAATCTATTAAGTGTTCGGTTTATCCAGTTTCGGTTTAAAGGGAAGTTGATTGTATGTATAACATGCTTGTACGACGATCAATTACTATATATAATTGTAATAAACTATAATGCATTCAATATTTTTAAATTATTTTTTTTTATTTATTTACAAGAAATTTAGACATGAGCTTGAATCCTATCCAAGAAATGGGTGAATCTCCTCATTCAACTCCGGCATATAATTCTTTAAGCACTTCTTCTACGTCCTCAACTTCTTCACTTTCACATCATCATCAAACTCCTATTAGTACAAGCTTGCCCTCATTTTCTTCGGCTTCTACTTATACTGCTCCGATTATTCAAGCAAGTGGTACCATTACTACGGCCACTCCAATGTCGACTGATTCAACTTGGTCTTCTCAAGCTTCACAGCAACAGCGTCAGATGCCTCAAACTCCTCAACTTTTCTCAACTTATCGCTCCCAGCCTTCCTTTTCAAATCGTAGTGGTCTTAGCGGTCTTACTTCTTCAAGTTCTTCTGCAACTTCTTCTATTTTGAATGTAACCGCCTCTCCTTCTTCTTTGGCTCCAATAATACCACCTATGGAGCGTTCAAATTCGGCTTCAACCATGTACTCGGTTCCTTCGTCCGGGGGTCACTTTCACGAAAAATCAAATTCAACTGGGTCGATTAGTGTTAATTTAAAAGATACTGCTAGTACAAATCATTTACCTTATATTCCTTCTCATCGAAGTCCAGTTTATGATCATATGCCATCAATTGCAAAAGAAATTGAAAAATTAGAACAATCTGGTCAGGATGATAAATGGGCTTCATTAGGTGCTAAAGTTTTACCCTTATTTAATGGTTTAGGATTAAAAGCATATATTGAAGATTTGAATGAATTGGTAAGGTAAAATCGTTTCTCTTTTTCTTTTTTTTTTTCTTTTTTTTTTTTTTGTTATTTGAAAAAATTTTTTTCTTCTTTTAATACAAACCTTTATTTTTTGATTTATATAAACAGATGCTGTATAAAAGATCGATCCCCACAATCATTGCGAGATGACATAAACAACCTCTTGTTAACAGGAATGTCCACTCTTAATGGCAAATTGAAAGGAGTTCCCGATGTGAAAGTGAAGAAGTTGAGGACGTAGAAGA